CCCCCCCCCCCCCCCCCAGCTCTTAATTATTATAATCTTGAAATCAAGGGGCTCTCAGGCAAAGATATGGGAATAGGAATGACAGTTCTTTATTAGGAAAATTAAAATAAAAGTGCAGTAGTGAAAAGAAAAACAACTGACAGTCAGAATGCAACCTAACATCCCGTTGGTCAGGGTGTTGGTAGCAGTCTGATTAAATGGTGGCTGCAGTCTCCCTGGAGTGACAGATGTGGTTCTGTTGAAGCAGTGATCCTGTAGAAGGATGTAGTTTTCCTCTGAAGGTTCAGTGGTGTAGATGGGTCTGGTCTTGCTCAGGGAATCCAGTGGAGAATGGCTGCCTGTGGTGTTTTGTGTCTCAGATTATATCCAGGTAGGAATGCCTGGCTCCTCCCCCGTGTGGAGCATCTCACAATGGGGTGATGTCATTTTATCAGCCATGCAGTGACTGACTCAATGCACATTAACAGAAGATATCCCCCTGGAGCTATGAGGGATGGGTTGTGGAAAAGATAAAGAACACTGCCCCACCTGGTTTTAACAGATGGTAATAGGATACGTACTTTTGATTACATCTTGCATTGCAACCTAAGACAATAAACCACCAAAAAAAACCCCAAACCACCAAACCCAAGCCCTGCCCCCCACTCCAGAGGCTAGATTGAGTGGGGATTTTTGGAAGCCAGCATATTGAAGGTGTTTCTGTCCCTGTCTACTTCAGGGTTCCAGTAAGGCTGCAGTCTTTGTTTTTGAAAACAGCCCCAGGTTTGGAATTATGAGCAGTGCTTATCTGCTTGTGGTGGACAGCTGGGAGAGGAATCTGGATGACCTGCAACAAACCCTACCGAATACTCTTCTGACTAGTTTTAGGTGTTTTATTTGTAGCATGCTTTTATGTGTAGTTTAGCAAGGCTGGTTTATGACGTGCCCATATGTTATTTAGCTGTGTTCTTACTGTGGTTTGAGTGTTTTTAATTTCTTCCTCCTTGTTCTCTCAGCGTAACAGATAATAGGAATCAGCAATACTTGAAATACACTGATCTGTGGCTTCCTGGTGGGAAACAAGATGAGTCACCAGTAACTAAAACCAACAGCCTTTATGTCCCCGGATTCAAATTTGTTCTTCTCAGTATAATTGTTCAAATACTTGCTTTCCCCACTGACTTCCTCCCTAGCAGTGCAGCACATCTTGCAGACTGCCAGACTGGGAAGGAAGAAGTGATAGCAGTTACAGCATGTGTAACAAGCCCAGAAAAGGGGCCCACCAGGGATCGATATGGCCACGCAGACCTAAGTGCTTCACCAGACTGTGTATCTCCTACCATATCTAATAGCATGATTGGGCCAAGTATTTATTATAGAATAGCAGGGATTCTGTCTGCCAGGTTTCCTTGGTTCTTGCACTGGGGTTCTGGACATGGCAGGGGTAAGTGGTGCTTATATTGTTAAGCTACACCCTTAGGAACAGAGCACCTTGCTGTCTGCCAGTAACACTGAATTTACTTTTACTACCAGATGAACAATAAAGTAGTAAAAAAACCCCAACAAAACCTCCAGCAGTCCAAATATTAGCTATATCATTGCTATGTTTAGAGAGGAAGATAAAGAAAAAAATGAAATTCATACACAGATCTGCCTACACCTTAAATCAATTATAAGAATTTTCACTTTTTCATCCAGGACACAGTCAGGATGTCTGTGCAGCCTTATGGATATGAGAACACAATGCCATGATACTGTGAGTATGGCTTTCACTGAAAAGATGTTGGGGTTTTCTTTTTTTATTTTTTAAGATAAGTTTCTTCATATAACCAAACTCTCCCTGGGAGTGAAACCTCTACACAAGTCCAAGTTCTCCTATGATACATAACTTTGTCAGGGAAAAAATGTTAACTTTAACTGTATCTCTAAGCTTCAGAAATACTGACATTCTTCAGACACGTTTGTGGAGCAAGACACTGAACAGAACTTTAAATGGAAATGTTGGTGATTAAAAGGTAAAGAACTTGTATACCTGAGGAAATGTTGTCCCCTATATGTTAGGTTGCAGGTTCTCTCCTCCAGAGACATCTTGGATAGGAGTATCATGAGCACAGAGTGTCCTCAGCATTTCACTTTCCATACGTGCATCCATCACAATGCTTTCTGAGCATCTCTATGCATTTTCATCACTTTTTGCTGTCCTCCTCCTCCTACGTGCCCAAAATATCCCAAACTGCTGCCAGGCAAATCTTTTCACTCAAGAGGTATTGTATAGAAATAATTTGTTACTCGGTAGGTGACTTTTTTATGCTTTTCAAGTTCTTCCATGGGTTAGGATATTCCTTTGTACATGGGAAGACTCTCTTGATGGAAGTGAATGACTGGTATTGCTTGAGAAGTCATTGAAGGGAATACAACTGAAGTGTGTCAGATTAACTTGTTATGAAGTATATACAGATTAATAGGGCACTTTTGGAAATGGAGCACTTGACTCTTGGTGGCTAACTACAGACCAAACTTAAAATTGAGTTTCTCCCAATTGGTTAGAGTAAAAATAAATGAATTATAAATGCCAAGTTAGGGATTAACCCTGTGACCTCTTGATGATTTTTGCAGCTCTCAGGACAAGTAGCCCCAATAATTATCCATATTACTGGAAGCTCTTTCTGTAGTGTTTGATGTTCCTTTGGCTCCTTGTGGCTTAATCCAAACTATGTTTGCTAAAATATTCTTTCACTGCTGCTCTGAATGTTTCTCTGTTTTGGAAGTAATCTGGTGGTTCCCCCTTTTCCAGTCAAATGGTGACCCACAGCACCAACTTCAGGCCATCACCTCCACAATCTTCATAGCTCGGTGCTTTGGATTCAGGCTTGGCAGATTCCTGGCTCCTTCAAGCAGACTTACATCTTCCTTCCAACCTGCAATTTGGGAGAGGTGAGGCAAAAAGTGAAACAAGCACATTTGAATCCAACATGCACATGCTTTAAGTTAGCATTATTTACACTTCTTCATGTTACCTCATCCCTGCTGTTTATCCTCTTCATTCTTAGGCTCACAGGTGTAACTGGGAAGGGAAAAGTCTTTAGAGTACATTGTGGACGGGAATGTGAATTGAGGCTGGTTCTCTAAATTAACAGAAATCAGAGAATGGGTCAAGCTGAAAGGGACCACAGTAGGTCATCTGGTCCAGCCTCCCTGCTCAAGCAGGTTCATCCCAGAGCACACAGCACAGGATTGTGTCCAGATGGTTTGTGAGTATCTCCAGTGAGGGAGACTCCACAACCTCTCTGGGTAGTCCAGTGCTCCCAGAAATAGGGACTTCTTTATTTCTCTGAGAATGGTATGTGTAAATACTCCTGTGTTTAAACATGTAATAGCAACTTTGGTTGCTATACGTGTTCCCAGGTGGTTTGGGCACAGCTGAGATTAAGGTGGCCGTTTTACTACATAATCCATACCACGGGCCTGCAACCCAAAGGATATTAACATGGATAGGGGGAGGCCAAGGGCTGGTGAATGCATGACAGTTCTGTGTGGGACTGCATTACTGAGTCTGGAATGGACAGTGCCTGCAAGTGAACACAGGCAAGGCAGAAGCTGCCTTGGGTTCGTGCCTGCTGGGCCCTGACGTGAACTGGGTTTTCCTGTCTTGCAACATTTTTTGAAAAGTTAAAAAATTTATCTTTCTGCATGGGACAAAGTGTACTTTTTTTTGTTTCCCCTGCCCTGTGCTGGTCCTGACCTTTACAGAGGTGCAGGGGCAGGGGCTGCCTGAGGGCTGGTGGGTGTTGTGGGGCTGCCCCATGGACACTGGGGCTCCTCCTTGCCGCCAGTCTCGGAGCAGGGCCATTCCCACACTACCAGAGTAGCTCACAGAATTGTTAGGGTTGGAAAGGACCTCTGGAGATCATCTGGTCTAAACCCCCTGCCAAGCCAGGGTCACCTAGAGCAGATGAGACAGGAAACATCCAGAGATGGAGACTCTACAACTTTCCTGGGCAGCCCGTTCCAGTGCTCTGCCACCCTCAAGGTCAAGAAGTTCTTCCTTACGTTGAAGTGAAACTCCTTTTTTGGTTTTTGGCCATTGCTCCTTGTCCAGGTGCCGGGCACCACTGAAAAGAGCCTGGCACCACGCTCTTGCATCCGCCTTTGAGATATTTACCTCCATTAATGAGATCCAGTCTCAGTCTTCTCCAGGCTGAACAGGCCCAGCTCCTCCAGTGTCTCCTGTTAAGAGAGATGTTTGGTCTTTGTGGTCTCTGCTGGACCCTCTGCCATAGCTCCTTATCTTTCTTGTATTGAGGAGCCCAGAACTGGACACAGCGCTCCAGATGTGGCCTCACTAGGACCAAGGAACGGGGGAGGATCACCTCTTTCAATCTGCAGGCCGTACATTTCCCGATGCACCCCAGGATCCCATTGGCTCTCAGAGCTTCAAAGCCACCGCCGGCTCACGGTCAGCTTGTTACCCACCAGGTCCTTCTCCACACTGCTGCTCTCTAGAAGGTCGCCAACCCCAATAACGCTAGTACTTGGGGTTATTCCTCCCCAGAGCCTTGCTGAACCTCATGAGGTTTCTCTCCGGGAAGGCGAGTCACGGGCGGCATCCGGGGCGCCCCCCGGCGCAGTCGGGGGCCGGTCCCGCGGAGCCGGAGCCGCGCACATCCACCCGGCAGGTGTCAGTGTGGGCTGCGGGGCCGGGCG